ACGCATAGTCGAGGACGAATACCACTTGCCGCTTGTTTTCCGGAGTGTCGAGCTAGAGGCTGATTTTTTCTAAAAGTGTGTTAGTGTCCTGGACGGCTCTCGTCATGTGAAATACAGAAAATAAAGTAACACAGTTTTACAAATATAATGAAATAACAATGTCGTCTGTCAGACGCATATTGCAATGACTTTTCTACTAACTGCGGAATGCAAATTAAATTCATTCGTTAATCCGTGAAAATGCTCCCATTGAACGATGATGTATATGAAATGTTTTGGTTATCATTTCAATTCACACTTTAAAATGTGTCTTGTCTTGGAAAGGGTGTGACAGAAATAGGATTGGTAGCCATATGCCTAGTCCTGTTCCCAAAATCTAGTAAAACACATGTTATCACAATTTTGTGTGCCAGTGCCAACTTTTCCGGCGTTAGTATTTTAAAATTAGATTTTGTGAAAAAAAACCGTTCCTTGCAGTGTTGATCTTAAGAGTTCAGTTGTACGCCTAAAGGATGTGTAGTTGCTTATTACTCTATTCTTCTAACTCGAGGTTGATTTGAATCTACTATTTTCGTTCTATTGTCTACTACGTAGTTTTTTCAGCCATAGTACTGTTCGTAATATTAATTATCCCGTGTATTATTCATAGCCTGCTACATAAGCACAGTGACAACGAAAGTCTGTGTTCAAGTTGGAATTGTATCGTCATTTGTCACTGGAAGTGTGCTGGTTACCTTGCAGATTGTATGTGTACTCGTAGGCTTGCTTAAGGTAGAAGCCTACTCATAAATTAAAAAAAAAATATATTTATTTTACAACAAACTGTACTCCAAGGCAATATAGGGATATTGATTTAAAAAAAGTTGGGGTCACCACCCTTATTTTCGAGATATTGATGGTTTTATTTTCATGGAAAGTCGCCATTTTGGCACAATCATAATGCTTTTACCATAGGTTCCTATGGCAGAGATATTATGCGATATCTCAAAATCTAGCCTGGTGACATAGGCTGAAAAAAATCATATATTGTTAATGAAGGAGTACTTTTTTACTTTTTGAATTGTGATTTTCAGTTTTTGATGTCATAGCTTCCAAAAGGTTTGGTTTTATGGCCACTTTACTGACCACATTATCATGTTTACATGTCGTATTGTTTACGTATTTGTAAATATTTCACTTCCTATTGGGTAGTTTGGAACAGTAGTGAGGCATAAAACATGGTAATATTTGATTGAATAAAATTAAATACATGTATATAAGACACTATTTATTTATGTAAGACACTGACGGTTCAACTAGAACGTGACACCGCAAATAATGAAAGCAACATCCCGACATCTTATCCCCGGGATGTTATCGTGCTACATCATTTGCGGGCGAAGATATGGCTTCGCTGACCCACTTTTTTCGTTAACGACGTGGAAATCTTTATGCGTAGCGATTCTAAAAATACTGCTGGCCAGAATCAAGGGCACTTGTCACGTGACCTATGTGTAATAAGCGCCCTCTATGGCATAGAGTTGTTTTCGGCTGCACTGTCACCGCATATTGCTGAACGAAACGACAATATTACAGTACGAACCACTGTTTTGCCAATGTTGCCATTGCTTCCCGTGACAGCACTGTGTAATGTAGCTATTTCAGCTGCATTGCTGTAGCTCACTTGGTTTCGCTGTCGGTTACTTCGTTCGTCACGGTCGTGGTATCAGGCCCGTAGCCAGCACTTTTGAATAGGGGGTTCGAAAACAAAAATAATGTATTTGATCTGAAACGTGTGAATTTTATTATATTCAAAAGGTGTGTTTGAGCTCTGTTACATACATTTTTATATTCAATTGGTTTACTTTTTGTTACGTTGGTAAGTTATTCCACATAACATTTTTGAACTACATGTATTTTACCATTTTAGAGAACACCCACACCCTTGATCCATTACGGCAAAATGTTGTACACAAAAAAGACAAGACTGTCCAAGCATTTTAAGGTAGAATGCTACTCACGAGTTTTTTTGCTCTTCGCAGATGTTAGCGCACATAAAAGTGACACAATTTCATGTCGAAATATGTCTACAATTATTCATTTTAGTATTAGTCAATTATGTATTATGTTATTTTATTTCTGTACAAGGCCTCAGCCCATTGTACAAAACGTAGTGGATAGAAAAGTGCATAGGACATTTTAAAAACAATAGAACATTTATGTAAACATATGGTACTAAGTTAAGCTGGATTCATATTCATCTCGTCGCTTGAAAACATTTAAAAGACACAAAGCTAGTTGATATATGGTGTGGCAGTTTAGCAGCGGTCTCAATAGACTTCAATGAATACATCTCTTTTTTATGAACCCACTAAAAATATAGAAAATTTTGTAAGACATCAAAAAAACAAAAACAAAAAATGTGTAAAAAAAAATATGTTTGAAAAATATGATTCATCGCATAGTTTTAGTGCTGAATCAACACTGTAGGGTAAATTGTTGGCTGCAAGAAGCTCTTCAACCTATACAACTCGTGATGATAAATCTTCGGCATTTTTTTAATGCTCTGTTCAACCCGTAGCTGTACACTATTGTCCAATAACACAAGCTACACATACTAATACAATAAGTTGACTACATTTGGCTGATACACTTGGAACAAAACAGTGTATATGCCATTCATTAACTCGAAGAATACAAAACTAATGAACCAAACTATGACAGTACAGTGTCGTGTTGTCGTGTCAATCCCGTTCGATCCCCACACTTAACTAACTGAGCGAACACTAGCACAAGACAAACGAACCTATTCAGGACCACCACATCCTTCAGAGAGTGACTACCATTACATTATTGTTTCAATGTTGCTTTAATATTTAACATCAGCTGCTTGAACGCGATCTTCATTACACCATCGCGGAATCACCGAATAAAAGCTTGCCCATTTATAACAACCTGTTTTGATTGACTGCTGTTGAGCTGAAACGGCATAAAATGTAACTTCACGATTGACATTTAAAACTCGTTTCCACCAAAATGCTCATTACTATGCAATTTCGGCCAAGTCTGATAGTTACCTCACTGAGTCAAGTGATTTAAACGATGATAATTAGTTTAAGTAATACTGTTTGTTTTATTATGTTCTGACTTCTACGATCATAAATCTATTCACTTCCAAAATTTAGGGGGGTTCGACCGAAAACCCCCCGACCCCCAAACTACGGGCCTGGATGTAAACGCATCGTTTCGCGTGAACACCTCGACGAACGAAATAACCGACAGCGAAACCAAGTGAGCTACAGAACTGCAGCTAAGCTATTTTGTGAGCATAACCATAGACCATCTTTATGGTCTATGGCATAACACCGTAACAGTGTAACATACTACAATATTGCCATTTATTTTTTCTTGCGGTCACAGCACCGTCTTTCAACGCGGTGGTCATAGTAAAAACTCGTTCATTTGATACAGTTTGCGCAAAAATGTCAAAAATCAATGTGTATAGTGCCACAAGCATGGCCCAATAAGGAAATGTTCGTTACCATACAGGCTATTGTTTTCTATTTAGCATAGTCAAATAAGGAAATGTTTATTATCATACAGACTATTGTTTTCTACCAAACATAGCCAAATAAGGAAATGTACATTATCATACAGGCTATTGTTTTCTAACAAGCATAGCCAAATAAGGGAATGTTTGTACCATACAGGCTATCGCTTTCTATCAAGCATAGCCAAATAAGGAAATGTTTATTATCATACAGACTATTGTTTTCTACCAAACATAGCCAAATAAGGAAATGTACATTATCATACAGGCTATTGTTTTCTAACAAGCATAGCCAAATAAGGAAATGTTTGTACCATACAGGCTATTGTTTTCTATCAAGCATAGCCAAATAAGGAAATGTTTATTATCATACAGACTATTGTTTTCTACCAAACATAGCCAAATAAGGAAATGTACATTATCATACAGGATACTGTTTTCTATCAAGCATAGCCAAATAAGGGAATGTTCGTTACCATACAGGCTATTGTTTTCTATCAAGCATAGCCAAATAAGGAAATGTTTATTATCATACAGGCTATTGTTTTCTATCAAGCATAGCCAAATAAGGGAATGTTTGTACCATACATGCTATTGTTTTCTATCAAGCATAGCCAAATAAGAGAATGTTTGTACCATACAGGCTATTGTTTTCTATCAAGCATAGCCAAATAAGGGAATGTTTATTATCATACAGGCTATTGTTTTCGACCAAGCATAGCCAAATAAGGGAATGTTTATTATCATACAGGCTGTTGTTTTCTATCAAGCATAGCCAAATAAGGAAATGTTCGTTACCATACAAGCTATTGTTTTCTATCAAGCATAGCCAAATAAGGAAATGTTTATTATCATACAGGCTATTGTTTTATCAAGCATAGCCAAGTAAGGAAATGTTCGTTACCATACAGGATATTATTTTCTATCAAGCAAAGCCAAATAAGGAAATGTTTATTATCATACAGGCTAGTTTTCTATCAAGCATAGCCAAATAAGGGAATGTTCGTTACCATACAGGCTATTGTTTTCTATCAAGCATAGCCAAATAAGCAAATGTTTATTATCATACAGGCTATTGCTTTCCATCAAGCATAACCAAATAAGGAAATGTTTATTATCATACAGGCTATTGTTTTCTATCAAGCATAGCCGAATAAGAGAATGTTCGTTACCATACAGGCTATTGCTTTCTATCAAGCATAACCAAATAAGGAAATGTTTATTATCATACAGGCTATTGCTTTCCATCAAGCATAACCAAATAAGGAAATGTTTATTATCATACAGGCTATTGTTTTCTATCAAGCATAGCCAAATAAGGGAATGTTCGTTACCATACAGGCTATTGTTTTCTATCAAAAATAGCCAAATAAGGAAATGTTTATTATCATACAGGCTATTGTTTTCTGTCAAGCATGGCCAAATAAGGGAATGTTTGTACCATACAGGCTATTGTTTTCTATCAAGCATAGCCAAATAAGAGAATGTTTGTACCATACAGGCTATTGTTTTCTATCAAGCATAGCCAAATAAGGAAATGTTTATTATCATACAGGCTATTGTTTTTTATCAAGCATAGCCAAGTAAGGGAATGTTCGTTACCATACAGGCTATTGTTTTCTATCAAGCATAGCCAAATAAGGGAATGTTTTTACAGACTATTGTTTTCTATCAAGCATAGCCAAATAAAGAAAAGGTTTATTATCATACAGGCTATTGTTTTCTATCAAGCATAGCCAAAATAAGGGAATGTTCGTTACCATACGGGCTATTGTTTTCTATCAAGCATAGCCAAAATAAGGGAATGTTCGTTACCATACGGACTATTGTTTTCTATCAAGCATAGCCAAATAAGGAAATGTTCATTACCATACAGGCTATTGTTCTCTACCAAACACAGCAAAATAAGGGAATGTTCATTGCTATACAGGCCACCATTCTCCAGAAAGCATAGCCAAAAAGTGAAATTGAGTATTTTACCAAAGTCCCTCTATAGATGGACCTCTACTACATTCTCAGGCAATGCAAGAACGTTTCAAGGATGATCTTTCAGTCTCTGGAGTATACCTCAATCACTCACTGAATAGACATGTATCCATCTAAATGAAATACAACAGATATAGTGAACTTGCTAATTTATTGCAAAATAAAAAGTTTTTCAATGCTTAATATGCATAATCTGAAGAATATCCAGACTACAAATAGCCAGAATACTTTCAGTTATGACATTACAAATCAATTACATAATATTCATAACATCAACGTCAAAATTTTTAATTTGATATGAACTTTGACTTTTTACCTTTAACCCCAAAGCTTCCCAGGTGCGCATGAAATAAAATCTGTGTGTTCTCATATCAATAGAGGTGAGGAAAACATACAAATGACTAAATAGGCGCTAAATTTTTCAACAATTTATGACTATCAGTGACCCATACCCTTCAAAATAGTAATGTAGTATACATCATTAAACATTTCAAAATTATCAAAATAAAAAGTTATTTTTATCATGAGAAGCCAAGAAAATTGCATGACTAAAAATGTAAATTTCTGATAGCAGACTGCACACCAAAAAAGTGAACAAAAAGTCAACAGACATATGTCAACATACATAAGATATTGACAACATAGACCTAATCATTACAGAGTTGACCTACATCACTAACAGGTTCTAGACAGATACAGTATTTGTTCCTATTACAAAGAAACGAATATTTTGGAAATGACATTAGTTTTAACTATTATTGTCTTAATACAGGCACAGTAAATAAACATACATAAAACAATAGGCTGCACCAAATCGCACCAAGAAATGAACATTCATATATTGTTACTTGTGGAATTAACACTTTGAAACTAGAGACTGTTGTTAGTTGATTTTTTCCACATCTGAAAGTGTGTGAAAAGTTTACGTGGCTGTATCAAGATTAACTTCATTTACTGAATCTCAATGGGGATATGGGTTTACTGACTTAACTACTTTGCATGTTTACCAAGTTATAGTTCCAGCCCCCAGTCCCTGGATAAGGGAGCGGAAGTATCAATGGTAAACAAAACAATACTACGACGATACAATTTACAATCATTATACATCAAACTGGAATAAAACATGAAATTAAAAAATTAATGGATGGTGCAACAAAAATATTATTTTTTTGGGGGGCAAGCAGACGACGTAATAATACAACATTAAGGAAACCGAGACACAACAAAGTTATGTTGTTAAAAAGCTGAGTCTCAAATTATTTATTGCGTCTCGGTTTCGATTTTTTTTCTCTCTCTCTTTTATAATTCAAATACTGAATCTCCATTGAAATTAGCTGATGACAACATATCAAAAGCTTTTTTGTCCTGATGTATTTAGTTTAAACATTATCTACCATCTTCATGGTAACAATAACCATAATTTTTTTTTTCTCATCTTAAAAGATTATTTACATCTTTTAGAAACCTGATTCTCCAAATATCACAATAGACAAATATTTCATCTTAAAAAAAAAAATAAAAAATTTCATGAACAGAACAAAAAAAAAATTGCAGCATTTACTAACAAAATTATATTTTTCTTTCAATGCTAATATGGTGTTAGTATACTTAATTTGTCCAAAATGTATACAGAACTATTACTGTTAGGTAGTTGAACAAAACAAACAAAAAAACAGAAAAGACTTTTGGCAAATTACACGTTATATACAAATTCCAAAATCTCCTGCTTGTTAATTTGCATAAATTTGCATATTATGTACACAATACAAGTAAATCCAGTGAAATGTAGTTATGTCCAATATTAATTCTCACATATATATATATATGTCAGATTTCTTGTCATATTATATTTTGTGTCCATTTAGGTTTTATTGATCCCCACCATTGACTTTGTCAGGGCTGGGTATCTGTCCTGGTGACTTGTCACCATTCTGCTGTAACCCAGTGCCATTTTCAGTCTGTGGTGGTTTATCACTTTCGGTTTTATCAGTTTCCACTGCTTTTGGTTTGGGTTTAGGTTTGCCCATTTCCTTTTTAGGTGCAGTCTTAGTAGTAGGGGTCTTTGTTGCTGTACTTGATCGCGCTGGTACTCTTGATGGTGTAGTAGGTATTCGTGACCCCGGAGTCGTTAATCTTTTCGCTGCCGTCGTTGTAGATTTCACTGGAGTGTCTTTATCACTAGCTAAGGAGTCTCGACTTGACGTGCGACTTGGAGTTTTTCTCGTCAGTGGTGTACGTCTAGTGGCACTTGGTGCATCTTTTTCGGACCCAAGTGATTCACGACTTGCACTCCTACTAGGAGTTTTCCTGACTGTTGATGTAGGTGTTGTCCTTCGCAGAGGCGACGGCCTCTTGAGGGCAGTGTCCTTTTCTGATGACAGAGACTCTCGACTTGCACTTCTCCCAAAAGCACTTATTGGGGTTTTTCTTATTGGTTTTTTAATTGATCCATCCTTATCTGATGACAATGACTCCCGACTTGATGCCCTGCTGGGAGTCTTGCGAGGGGTTGAGAGTCTGTCAAAGACAGAAAGCCCCCTAGTTGACCCATCTTTATCAGAAGAAAGAGAGTCTCTGCTTGTTGATCTTGTAGGAGGTTTTGCTGTTAGTGTCTTCTTTGTTGGGCTAGGGATTCTTGTTGGTGATGTCACCTTTGATGAGGGTGTGGTTGGTGTAGCCTGTGTTGTCTTAGTTGGAGATGCTTTTCTTGGGACTCTAGTATATGTAGTCCTAGCAACAGTTGGCAAGGTGATGGTCCGTGTCTGTAAAGTTTCTGTTCTAAATGTTACTTCCCCCCGGGTCATGCCACCAACAGTCTTAGTCTTGACATCTGCTGTTGTGCGGACATGTTGACCGCCAACTTTACAGGAAACGTCAGGTCCATGACTGTGGCCATGCACATTTCCGTGGTCATGCGAATGAGGACCTGTGAATAGAGGCAGAAGAAAATTAATAATTAATAACTGCTATTTCATATCCAGGCAGTTAGATATAGATAAGAAAACTAGACCCACATGCTGGATATTAGTAACTGCTAGTAAATTGTGGTACATGTAACCA